GGGCAAACTCCACAGAGGGGTGCTTCTCTGTCTTAGCTTTCAAACACTGCATTCTGAATCTCCACTGCATCTGTAAAATGGGGCTAATAATCTCACAGTCCATGAGGGCTGTGGTGAGGAGTAACTATGGAAAAGCGTGACTGGGCTACCAGCAGTAATGATGAGCCTCCATCAAGCTTTATTACTACGGCAATGGTGACAGTGATGGCGGACAAGCTAGGCTGGGTTGCCCCTCCACTTGTTCAGACCATCTGGGAGGAGAGCTGACAAGCTCCCCAGAGGAGAGGCTGGCATACCTCTCCTACTGTTGTTACCAGGGCAAACTGACTCCTCTGCAGAGGAAGAGCAGACAGAGACACCCCTACCCCCCCCCCATACACAGCCATGCCTCCCCAGCAACCATCAATAATCCAGAGGCCAGGCCTGGGACACCTGAGCCTCAAGCATCAAAGATTCATGTGCCCAACCCCTAGGCTGCCTTGCCTCCCCCTCCCTGTGAGCCTCAAGTTACAAGTTCCTCTCCTGGCCCTCTCTGGGGTTAGCCGAGTCACACCTTTGGCTAGGACAGAACTGGTCCATGGATGCCCAGTGTGATCACTCCTGCCACGTGCCCAGGCCAGAAACGAGACAAAGCAGTTGCTCACAGCAGAAGGAAGCATCCAGTGCTCTCCTGGGCTGGCCTGCAGGGTCCTATCAGCCCAGGGAGTCCTTCCTTCTCTCCTGACTGCAGGCAGCAGCAGTGACCAAAGGGGAAGGAAAGGGCAGCTGGCCACTCCCTCCTGTGGGGCTTAGTCATCAAGCCTGCCCCTCCATCAACTTAGAAGAGGAAGCTGACCCACCTGCTGGGTTGTGAGGTAGTGAGTGCTCATCCAGGCCCCACCTTTTCTGGTTCTGCTGGGGGGGGGGGAGGGAGGCGGGGCCAGGGAAGCCCTCTCAGGGCGGTTCAGCCACCAAGTGGCCACAACCACAAGGCAGGATCCAGGCGGTCAGGCGGGTCAATGGTGCACACACTTGATGGGGGATCTGAGTGTGGTGGGAGGGGTGGATAATGGCCAAACCGCTAAGACTGTCTGGGCAGGCAGCCTGGGCCTTCCCCACAGGCCAGGCAACCTCTCTAGGCCAGTGCTAGATGGGGCCACTGAAGCCGGAGTAGGGTCATGGCACTTGGCACCTTGCCACTGCTTCTCTGTCAGGCTGTCTAAGAAGGAGTCCAGGGGCCCTGGAAGGTGGCACCAATGGTCTGGGCTAGGGAAACTTCATAAGGAAGGGGAACACTGGTTTGGGTTCTCCAGGGTCAAGACTCTCCCAACAAACCCGTTATCTGGACCCTCTTCTCTGCTCCAGACTGGGGCTGGGACCTCTCAACTCTACCAGCGGCCAGTCCTGGGGAGCTGAGTGGAAAATGGAAGGTCAAGGTCAGACTGGAGGTTCTTCTTTCTTGAAGGCCCCAAGATAGCTTTTCCGGAGCCCAGCTTGTGGGACTAAGTGAGGGTCCGGGGAAAAACCAAAGGTCAGGGCCCCTCCTGAACACATACATATACAGCAGGCCCATATAAACCCTGCACATCCATCAGCACATGCAACCATGGCAACAAATGCCCACTGAGATGGACCCACATTGCGCACTTACGCACAGATATCCACAGACAGAAACACTGATATCTAATGATGATCTTGTGCAGCCTACACAGGTGTCCATTCAAACACCATTCGTCCATGTGCATGGGAAGCCTCGATGTATGCCTGCACAGCCACATCCTGATGTGCCCACTCGGGGCTGTACACACAAGGCACGTGCACATCCGTGCACACGACTCCAGATGTGCACATCCGGGTCCTCCTACCCTCCAGAAAAGACCAAATATGTACAACTAGACCCAGACAGATACATATACACACATACCACACCCAGGAGGGAATACAGATTCCGCTCCTCGGCTGTGTACGTACATGTACACCCACTCCCAGCAGTGCACAGCAAGCCTGCACTCCTCCCTCTAAGGCTGCCCACCCCAAGGCTGCAAAAGAGAACAGGAAGCTTCTCAGGGGCCATCGCCGGGGAGGAGGGAGGGACCGAGAGGCGGGGAAAGGGTGCCACGGCGAGTAGAGCCCCTCGACCCCCTTGCCCTCCGCCATCCGCCCTCACCATGGATGCCCGTCTGGTGCGCCATGGCTCCGCGCGCCGCTCCGCCCGCACCCTCGGGGCCCTCGGCTCGGCCCTGGCCTCGCTCTGCTCGCTCGGACCCGGAGGAGGAGGATGTGGCGCCGGGCGCCGAGCCTCGCGCAGCTTCCCGGGCGGTGCCGCAGGACCCGCCTCCAGCGGCGCCCCGCCCCCGACGGGCGAGGCCGAGCGGGGAGCCCAAGGCTAGGGGCCGCTAGTGCACCCGAGTGTGCGCCCGGGACCGAGTAGGTCGGCGAGGGACCAGCTCGGCGCGCGCGCCTGCGCGTGTCCTGGGGGGCGGCCAAGGAAGGAGCCTGCGTGTAGCCAGGCGTGGGCGCACGCGCGTGTCTGTGCGCCCGGATCCGGTGGTCCGCGGGTGGGCGGATCCGCGCGTGCGCGCGAATCTGTGCGCCCGAGGCCAGGTGGGCCTGTGGGTGGGGGCGGGCCGTCGTTTATTCTCATTTGTGGCAGGTGAGGGACCTGATCGCAGGTTGGCGCGCCTGAGTTTACGTCATCCCCTCCCTGTGCGGGACGCGTGCATCTCAGGGTGGTCGTGGTCCGTGGGCGCTGCCCTTACGGAGGGGGCCAGAACCACTTTTCTACACGGCAGAACGGTGTCAGTGGTGGCGAGGCCTCTGCGCTAAGGCCACTAGGAGGCGAAATTGAAGAGATCTGAAAAAGACTAGGCTGACCTGCAGTTTTCCGAGAAAGAACCACCTGTGCCGGGGGAGATGGGGGGAGACGAAGGAGGGTCAGAGCTTTAGGACAACTAAGGAACATTACAACGCCTGGTGAATGTTTGTGTCCACGTCTAGCCTCTTCTCCTACCCTGGCATCAGCCCCTGCTGTTACCAGCCAATCTATACTGTACCTTCCGTCTCTGTGATTGACTCAGGGATGAGCACATGACCCGAGTTGGTCCAATTAAAGTCTGTCTCAGTAATTTACTTGGGCACATTGGAAAACAAAGCACATTTTTAGAGTTCTGTATCCTGAGGTGTGATGACTTCCGTGTGGGGCCTGCCTGGTATATGGCTTCAGCTTGTGCCCTCTGCTTGCTTTCCCACTTCTTCCCTTACCTCGGCACCGCAGCCACCTCTGCAATCCTAGATCCTGGCTTCCACGTCGCTGAGAACTGAGGTATTGTTGTGTTTTCTGAAGGCACCCTTTTTTAAAAAAATAAAATTTTCTTTTTCCAAATGTTTTCATAATTTTCCGTATTTTTTAGTTACAAAAACATAGTTTGATAATCCAATTCCCCCAAATAAATTACCGACCTGCTCACGTTGTGAGATTACACGTCCTTCTGCAGTGATGGGAGTCACATTTTAGAAATTCTCCCTTTTCACATTGAGAGTGTGAATAACAAGAAGTGTTTAAAACAATTAGAGATATCATCTTACCCCAGTAAGAATAGCAAAATTCAACAGAACAGCAAACAGCAAATGCTGGCAAAGTTGTGGAGAAACTGAAACCCTTCTTCACTGTTGGTGGGAGTGTAAAATGGTGCAACCACTATGGAAGGCGGTATGGCGCTTTCTCAAAAAGTTGCAAATAGAAATACCATTTGACCCAGCAGTTCCACTAGTGGGAATATACCCTAAAGAAGCCACAACCGCCACCCAAGCAGATATATGCACACTCAAGTTTATTGCGGCTTTTTTCACAATAGCAAAGAGTTGGAAACAACCCAAGTGCCCATCAACAAACGAATGGCTAGAGAAGCTGTGGTATATTCACACAATGGAATACTATGCTGCACTGAAAAACAAGGAACTCATGAAATACAAAATGTCCCTGGGGGACATTATGCTGAGTGAAATAGCTCAGTCACAAAGGACAAATACTGCATAGTACCACTGGTGTAAAATGGGACTGACATTGGGGTTAGGGAGAACCTAAGAAAAGAGGGTATAAATAATGTATACTGCATTGAAACAGATGAGGGAGAAAACTGTTTAAAAGGGATATAGAATTAGGTATTATTTTCATGACAAGATTACAGAAAAAGAAATGCATTTGAAAGTGGACTAGGAAAGTTGTATAACAATGAAAGATTTTTTTCTTCAAAGAGAAAAACTAACTGAGGGGGAGGAAAATGTGCAACAGTGAATGAATGCAGGAAAAGAAAATGTAAAGAATATGTTCTATATATATTAGAGCATATTCTTTACATTTTCTTTTCCTGCATATATATATATGTTGCATAAAAAATCATTAATTAAAAACATTTAATAAAAACAAACAAAAAAAGTTAGAAGAATCAACTGTCATTATCTATTGGCATTTTCATAGCATTTTCTAGAGCCTGATTTCATTTACAAAAAGCAAAATAGAACAAATTCATTCCAAAAGCTATGTTCAATGTAGCTCTCGTTAGCAACCTCCAACTCGATCTCTAGGAATAATTCACATTTCTGAACCATGCTTTAGAAAAAAACATTCCCAGCAGTCTATGCAGGATTTATTCTTATTCCATCATTGGTAACAATTGCACTTGTTGTTGCAGGAACTTTAAATTCTTCTTCTGCAAACTTTAAGACTGCTGTAAAAGGTGTGATTTCAGGAACACTGAGTGCTTTGTACCTCAGCCTTGGGTCCGACGTTAGCGTGATCTTAAAGGAAACCTTCAACATAGTACTCCTATTTGGGGCTGACACCTCACACTGAATCCACTGGGTTCCTCCACTTCCTCTACCAATCTTGGGGGGGGGTGCCTCCCTGAATGCACTCTTAAGGACAGGGCCCATGTATTCAGTTCACATGGTCATTGGAGCGCTCACAATGGAAACTGAAACCCAAGGTGACTGTGGCCGGCTTTTATTGTTGAACAGCCTGTATGCAAGAGCTCCCAGCAGACAGGGCCTGCAACACGATTACTGGTTATACCAATCCTCAGTCCTGGCCACCTCCACAGGAGCAGGTGGTGATCGAGTGGATACATAAAAGCCCAGACATAGGAATTAGTCGAGATGACACGTGAGTGTAAACCAGATTGTGTCCCCTGTGAAAATGCCCATCCACGGAGGAACTGTGGCAGGTAGGAATATTGACAGTATTACATCAAGGTCTCCGCTGGCGTCACCCATCATATGTCCTTCTCCCTCACTGACCTGACCCTCCTCCTGCTTCACCTTCATTCTTATCAGCACGTATGTTTATTTACATATATCCTCCTCTCTTTCATCCACCAGCAGGATACTTGTCCCCATGATATTCCCAGTGCCTACAATTTTTTAAAAAAACAAAATACGCACTCATTGCTATCTGTTGGAACTGATTCATAGTTGATCCAGTAGGTTTCCAAGGCTGTAAATCAGATGGGAGGAGATTGTCCATTTTCTCCTGTGGAGCAGGATGCTGGTGGATTTGAATCTCCAAAGAGGTATAGTTGCCAAATTCTACCCAGTGGTTCCAGGAGGGAAATATCTGGTACTCAGCTTCCACAAAGATCATAGTCAAGATCACCCTCTGGAGAGTGCTGTTCTGTCACTTGAAGACACTGTGAGTCATAATCAATGGTCCTAGGGAGCTCTGGTGGTAAAGAAGCTTCACTGCAATCCTGAAGGTGTGTGGTTCAAATCCACCAGATGCTCTGCTGGAGAAGGAGGGCCAATCTTCTGTGCCAGTCAGATCCAATTTGACAGTAAACAAGAAAAGAAATGGGGGGGAAATTAAAATTTTTAAAACATCAATGGCCCTCAGCAACAAGAAGCATGTGCTGACATGCTTGAAGAAATATCATGCAGTTTTAATAAATAGCTGTTGAGTAAGAAAAAATATTTGCCAAATAAGCACATGTCTTACTGAGCCCTTAGAGTCTTTCTGCTTTGCAGTACTTACTTAGTTAATCATCATAATGGCCCTACAAGACGTTATTTTCTCCTTCTTTCAGATAAAGAAGCTGAGACTCGGAGAGCTGAAGTGACTTGATCCAGATCACCTGATAGTGTGTCCAAGAAAGAACTTATGATTCCTTTATTCAAAAAGAACAGACAATGGATAAGAAAATCTATTGACAGTGGCCCTCATTCCCTCCACTAGTCACTCGGACCTCAGGGGGATTTCCTTCAGGGGCAGGACAGCCTAGAGGAAGGGGCCTCCTGGAATATTTGAGTTTGAATCCTTCCTCATCCTCAGAATCTGAGGCTCAAGTAAGGAACCAAAGGGCGAACAGCTGCCAAACAGACTTCTTCTCTGACAGAGATCTGGTTTCGAGCGGGAACATGAGAAAGGTCCTGCCCATAGATGTGTCTTGCATGAGTCTAGGGATGTACAGAGCATCCAGGGGATCAGCTGCTCTTTTATTCCTGAAACAACACAATGAAGTCAGCTATTGAGATTAACAGTAATAGAAGGGAGCTCTGGTGGCCTAGTGGCAAGAAACTGCACTGCAATCCCAGAGGTATGTGGTTCAAATCCACCAGATGCTCTGCTGGAGAAGAAGGGGGCAGTCTCCTCCTGTACCAGTCGGAGCTGATTTGATGGTACATGTAAAAACAGTACAATAAAAAAAGAAAGGAAAAAAGATATTAATAATAATAATAGATGATTAATAATAGTCAAATAAATGCCACTCCTTCCACTGTGTGTAAAAGATGTAAAAAAAGTATAAATTATAAAAGTACCAGAAGAAATAAATAGGTCTGTCTTGGACAGGGGTGAAACCAAGTCTCTCCTTGGAGACTAGGATTTTTTTTAATTTTTTAATTAATTTGTGTGTGTGTGTGTGTGTGTGCGTGTGTGTGTACCATCCAATCAGATTTGACTGGTACAGAAAGAGATTGTCCCTCCTTCCACAGCAAAGTATCTGCTGGACTGGAACTGTGTACTTCTGGGATTGCAGTGCAGCTTCTTGCCACTAGGCCACCAGAGCTCCCTGGAGGCTAGGATTTTGAAGCTCCACCTCACTTACTTTGGTCACATGGACAGGAGAGCTCAGTCCTTGGAGAAGGATATCATGCTCGGAAGGGTGGACAGACAGCTCAGGAGAGGGAGACCCCCGATGAGATGGATTGATACAGCAACTGGGGCAATAGGGATTGGTGTGTTGGAAATAGTGAGACTGGCTCAGGACAGGGAAGGGTTCAGAGCTGTTGTACATCTCTATACATCACAGGTGACTCAACGGCACATAACAACAATAACATACTGTGACAGGTTTTGGCAGCAGGAGTAGCATCTACTTCCTAAATAACATGTCTCTGGAAACTCTATGAACTTTGATAAATGTCGATAGCTATAGAGGGGCTTCAGGCGTTTTATTCATAGGGTTGCTATGAGTCATACTTGATTCGAAGGCAATCAACAACAACAGGAGAAGAAATAAAAGGAGTTGAGTTTTTTAAAATTATCCTGGGGTGGAGGATCCCTTCAAAGCATGCCACCAAACCCATAAACCATGAAAAAAAAAGATTGATGAGTACATCTACATTCAAAATCTACATTTTAAAAAAATAATAAAAATCTACTGGGGCCAACCCACCATGGATGTAAAAACACAAACACCAAACTGTAGCTTGTTACAAACAATACACATTTTTTTTTCTTTTTAAAGGTCCTGAAGGCTGGAAAAGTATTTCTGTTACAAACAATGTATTTGTGAGTCATTTAAAACTAAAGAACTGGTTTCCTTTATATAAAAAGAATTCTCATAAATCAAAGAACAAAACCAATGCTTCATATAAAACCAGTCTATCAAGGCAACAAATCATCTGTAGGAAAGGAAATAATAATTTTTAAATTTTTATTTAAAAAAGAATGCTGTGATGTCAAGGGGTAGAGACATAAGCTGACGATAGGATGAATTGGTGCAACCTTCATATTGAAGTTGTTGTTGTTGTTATGTGCTGTCGAGTCGCATATAATATTGAAGAGTGTCTAAAAAATTATAGGTGTGTGTTCCAGTTCCAAGGAGCCCTGCTGGCCTAGTGCACAGGTCATTGTGCAGCCGACCAGAAGGCAGTGCTTCTCTGTGTCCACTGGCTCAAAACCACCAGCTACTCCTCCGGAGAAAGACAATCACACAATTTACAGCTTAGGGAACTTAACGGTCACCATGAGCCAGAATTGATAGCAGTACAGTACATAAGTGATTTCTTGTCAAGGTGAAATTCATATAACATCAAATTAAGCATTTGATTTTTCTGTATTAATGATAATTTATTATTCAGTGAGATAATGACCACCATGTAATATACATATACTGTTGTTAGGTGCTGTCGACTCAATGCATATATATATGATGTTGTTATATACTTGAGTCAGAACAAACCCATAGTTAACCCTCCAATGGGTTTTCAGAGGCAGTTAATTGCATGGGAAGAGATTGCCTATACCTCTCCCACAGAGTACCTGGTGGCCTCAAAAATTTGCAGTTCAGCTTCTTGTTACTAGGCCACAAAAGCTCATATATACATATATACACATATATGATCTGCAGTCAGGGACCTCTCCCAATTTCTGAGGAGCAATGATGTTTGAGGACTAAGGTGTGCCTGACTCAGCCATGGTCTTTTAGGTCATTTACTATGCATCTGAGAGCTGAACAATGAATAAGGATGACAGAATAATTGATGCCTTTGAGTTGTGGTGTTGGAGAAGAGTACTGAATAACCCATGGACCACCAAAAGAACAAACATGTATGTCTTGGAGAAGATACAAGCAGAGTGCTCCTTGGAGGCAAAGATGATGAAACTTCATCTCACCTATTTTTGGTGTGTTGCTAGGAGAGGCTATTCCTTGGAGGAGATCATGCTTGGGAAGGTGGAGGGATGATGAAAGAGAGAAAGATCCTCAACAAGGAAGATTGACACTGTGACTGCAGCAAGAGGCTCAAGTGTGTCAGAGATTGTGAGGATAGGACAGAGTTCACATCTACTGTTCATTGGGTCACTATAAATTGTACTTGGCGCCTCTCCAAAGTACTGAAGAGCAATGATATCAGTTTGGAGACTAAGGTACACCTGATCCAAGCTATGGTCTTTGCAGTTACTTGCTATGCATCAGAAAACTGGACAATGACTAAGGATGACAGAAAATTGATGCCTCACTCATTTCTCTCTTTTTTCTTTTTTTTGTGGTGATGGAGAATATTGAACATAATCTTTTTCTGTGTGGTTTACAGCCTCCAAAAACTTGCTAGTGGGTCATCTTATGAGTAGGTTTTAACTTGACAGAAGTGAGAGGTTTTTTTTTTTAAAATGAATAGAATTTTGTTGCAGTTACCAGATGCGTCTTAGGACTCACCTGGCCTCATTTCTGTAGCTGGAAAACTCCTAGCTATTACTCATCCGCCTGCTGAACAGTTCCTTTTTAGGAGGCATAGATGTCATCCAGAAATTTTTCAGATATCCTTGTTTTTAACTGTTGTAGCTTGCTGATTCAAAGCAGCTAAATCTGATACAAACTCACTATCATTTCCTTCAAGAATGAACTCATCTTTCTGGGCTTGTGATACTGAACAAGCACCACCTGATCTTATTTGAACTCTCCAAATGTATTTTTCACCTAAGAAGTTTCGAATTTCAACCAGAGATCCAGTCTCCTGAATCACCACGTTGATGGGAAAATGAGCACACACAGACGTCATCGTGTACGAAAGCCCAGAGTTACACCCTTGTGCATGTTCTGTACATGGTGCAACAGATGGTGTGAACAGTAGCCAGTTCCTTCCTGTTCCCCCACCATTTGTCAATGCGAAGCCTCTTCTTTGTCTTTCCAAGCTCTGCATCCATGTTATTGAAGTCCCTCTGCAAGGTTCCCCAGGGGCCTCTCACCATAACTGTGTGGTCCTTCAGAGTAATGGACATTCTCTGGAACGTCAACAGTCTGGTTGCTAAGGATGGTCTTCATTCTCGCAGTGAATGTGGCAAAAAATGAGAGTAGATTTTTTTTAAGTTTAAAAATAATGATAACACTATGTACATGTGTTGCCTGGTTAATTTTACCTACATACATATCTTCCAGATTAAAATAC